CCAGCTTAGAAGGAGTCATAAATCTCCAAGAAGGAGACCTACCCTGTCTGCCTCTTATGGCTCTGCTAAGCAACAGCCTTCAGGCTCGAAGGAGCCCATTTAACTGCCCTTTTGAGAGCAGAGTACCAGCCACACATCTATTTTCCCTTTTCCCTCCCTTGGAAACAAGTTGTGCCATTTTCTTGGTTTTGGGAGTTGATCACCTCAGATAAGTCCTCCTAAGCATAATGAGACTGGGTTACACAATCCAGTTCCGGTCTATCCCTTACCCCCGCACCCCTTCCATTCACTTGTGCACACTCTATCTTGCTGTGGAGTTTGGTTTGCTCTACATGCCAGTCTTGCAGCTGGGATAGTGGGGTTTGGAACAGTCTGTATTTCATGGTGGTTTAAAATGCACTCAGTTGATCGGGAAGTGGCAGGCAGTAGCTTGTATAGTTGGGGTAACTGGTACAGTTGCCTGAAAATGTTGAGAACCCTTCTGACCTCTGGTCATGAACGTGTGGCTTACATCCCATTCCTGGAATGTTCAGACATGAAAGCATGGTACATGCTGTCACCTTCCTTCCCAGAGGCAGAGACTGTTGCCCACACAGTGCTCTGAGCACAAGCTGGGAGGAATCTGACCTCTCTTTGAAGAAATGTTGAAGATTCCAGTCACCTGCGTAAGTAATGGAAATCTAGTGCTCTTCATATGTACCTGGAGCCCTCCGTTCAGTTCCCTTGTGCATGCTGGTTCCTCTTGTCTCCCTGCACATGCTGTCTAGCTCTCTGGTTCCCTTCTGCACCTTTTAAAACCACTTTGCATAATATAGAATGAGATGCTATCTCTATGCAGTTGCAACAAGAACATTCCTTTTATGAATTTATTAGGCTCCTGGGAGGCAACTGGGTTTGGTTGCACAGGTGTCAGTGAGGTGCCAGACCCACTAGTGGTGCTGGCAGTTACAAATGAACAACTTTTTACTTGTGAAATGAACAGGTTTGATTTGCAGTCAGCCAGAAAATAGAACTATGGAGCCTCACATGTCTTTTAGTTCGTCACTTTTCAAAGTAAAATGCACATTTATTGTAAGGGTCAAAATCTTCACCTTAATTAGCATGAAAAAAACAAACAAACCCCAAACTCAGCTTGCTGAATCCTGGTACCTGCCTAGAAAAATGCAAGCAGCATGAAGTCAGGTGCAGCAGATGACTACACAGGCTGCAGTGTAGACAGAGTTGTGGTAGGAAGAGCAGCAAGAAAGCTGGTAACTCTAAGAGTTTAAAAGTGAGCATTTTCCTAAAGTCAGGCATACTTTTAATGTGTTTTTCACTGTATACATCTGAGAGTCAGTCTGTTTTTTAACTCACCGCCCAAACTCCTTGTCATTGTATCCCTTCCGTTATGAACAGTTGTATATACATGAAATGTTTAGTATTTACAACACAACCTTGCTTCCAATAGAAGGGGAGTCAGCCTATCTAATCTGTCTGTCAAATCCAGGGGTTCTCAAACATTTCCACGGTGTGTGCCACATTTTGATAGAGATTATCACATGGACATGGGTGCTGGAACTCGGGGTGTGGGAGGGGCTGCTGCATCCCCTGGCTTGAAGTGGTTTCCATTATATACAGGATTTACAGTTTGGTTAAATGGCTCTCAGCCCTCCCACTATATAAATTGTTCTAGCATCCCTGCACATGGACAATCACACTCCATTCAGGACAGCACAGCACCCCTTTGGCAACTACAGTAACGGCTTACAGGAAAGAGTAATATTAGAGAAGTGTTTACAGTACCACCAGCCTTAAACACTCAGAAATCATGAGGCAGGCCTCAAAAAAAATCGCAAGATTGGTTTAAATATTGGTAGAATTTTGAAAAAGGATAAATTTGGAGTGCTTTTCCTTTGTATTCTGATTTCTGAGCCCATAGGATGCACTTGGGTCACGCTTTCAAGCTTTTCCCACAACCATAAAGGCTAGACTTCTTTTTTTTTTTTTTTTAAGGTGAGCCAAGATTTTCATGTATTCACGTCATTTCAGCAGCCAGAGCTTTCAGGAAAACACCAAATGTCATCATGAGACATGTGGTAGAATCATGAGAGTTGGCAGCACTGTGGTTATATGTTTTTAGCCATCTTCAGTGTGGTATATGCCTTGCCTTTTTTGGGAACAAGGACCCACATTGTCTCCTTTTGCTCTTAATTTCAGCTCTGTCTCCCTGGTCCCCTGGAGCTTGTCTCCTCGTGGAAAAACAAACAAACAAATCTTGCAGGAAAAGGCCACAACACCTCAACATTAAAACAAACAGTAGCCAAAATAACCAAGTGTATTCACTGTAGAGTAGGAAGGCTTGGGCAGGAAGGCTCTCTGAGTGGGACTAAGTTCCCCCACAGATTGGCTCAGAACAGACTCTTGAAGGATACATCAGACAGAACAGGTGAGCTGAGAAGCACGGCTGGAAAACTCCCCATGATTAAGTTGAAGATTTTAAACAATAAGTACTTAAAGCTAGGCTCCAAACACCACATTTAGGTTCCTTATTAAGTGATCTGAGTACTGTACCCCCAAAAACTCCTATTGAAGTTGCTTGTGATTAACACTTTTGCAAATTAGGTCACTTCTTTAGGGGCCTGAACATGGACTGAATAGGCTAAAAGAAGCCCCACAATACTGCCCTGAGGTAGTTATTGTTTTTCCTGCTTTACAGATGGGGCAAATGATGCACAGAAAGCAAAGTGTCTTGCCCCGTCACTGCTGTTCTAACCATTAGCCCACACTTGGCTTCCAGGAGCTGTCTAGGTGATGAAATCGCCTTTTTGTGGCTTCTTGCTGAAGTCTGGAAGGGGAAGAAATGCATGAACCAGTGTACTGGTTGGGGGACTGGAGAGTGTTTTTGTTTAATAGCTTGATTATCTCACTTTCTTCTCTCTCACCACATTAGTTTCAGTGACTGCAGTGACACACAGTGGTGATGAGTGTTTGCTGTGCCAAAGGGAGACAGAGGGCACTGAACTTTGTTGGAAATGGTGTCTGCCGAGTTCCCTAAGAGAAGCACTTTCACTGTCCTCCGGGCTGACAAGAACACTGACGTTCACGGCTGTTCTTAAGATGGCCTTGGTTTCTATTCTCTATCCTTATGTCCCAGTGCAAGGGAAAGTACAGTTCATTAATGTTTGGAACCATTATGTGTCCAGTAATGTTCTGCCCAAGATGTCATTAATTTACTACTTTGTTTTAACATGGTCCATTCAGAACTGTGGGCTTCGTAAGCTGATTTGTATTGTAAATACTGTATTTAAATCCTCTTTATTTTTGATGACAGGGATTTTTTTTTATCCCTGTGCAAGCAGTGATGAAATAAAACGAAAGCTGTTTACTCTAACATATCTCTATTGCTCCTTTTTCATTTGTACTTTAAAGAACCTGATGGGAAACTTTGAAAAATGTCCTGCAAGGTACAATTCTGCGGATGTCATAGGATTGTTCCCCCTTCCTTCCTTGTTTATTTGTATAAGGCACATTTGCATGCAAAGAGGATAACTGTGTCCTTAAGAGTTCATCTGCCTCTGATTTTCCATCATTCTGTCTCCCAAGTGTATATCTCACTTGATGGGAGGCAGAACGGTCTAGTGGAGGCAGAAGTCCAGGCTTTCTTCCTAGCTCAGGTGCATGCATGCTGTTTGACACAGGCAAGCCACTTAATGACCCTGGCTCTCAGTTTTCCCATGTGTAAAATGATTATGATAATGTTTACACACCTCATGTGAAACGGCCTACATAAGTTAAGTGCAAAGTATTATTAACAGGCCACTGTTAATGATATCCGATTTTCAACTAGTTCCTAATGCCACGATCAGAGGATGGTATCTTAGATCTGAGAAAATTGTGGGGGAAAACATCAAATTTCAGTGTTACTGTATTTGTTGGTTTGTTTAATCTGAACTTTCAGCACTCACACTTCGTAAACACAAAAATGACTATGAATATCACCACTTTTGGGGGGAAATATGGGGAGCCATATAATTCTGTAAAGCTCTCAAATACCATGGTCATGAGTGCAGCATAAATGCCTAGACCCAGACTCACTTACTAAAAGTGAATTTTAAACTTGGGTATTTGCCCCAAACAATTTTTGAATTGTATATCTGATTGTAAAATTCAACAGTTTTTGCTATGGTGGTTAGTTTAGGTAAACTGTCTAGTTAAGAACCTGGAAAAATATTACAGGTCAGGCATTATCTGCAGAAGAAATTAAATAATTTCAGAGAATGGATTAATTAGAACACGTTCTGATGTGTTTGTGAGTTAAAGTGATTTTAATTAAACATATAAATTATTAATTGTTAACTATTTGCCCAGCTCTGTTATGACTTCAGGTCGGGGGGACGAGGAACTGCAAAGATTCCCATTTCCACACAGAAAAGCCCTGCCGATAATAAAGGAGGGGGCTGGAGGACAAGCTCTGCAGTGTGTTGGCGGTGGAAGCAGAAGTGTCTCCAAAGCAGCCTGCGCTTCGAAATGCTCTGACCCTTGCGCAGCTCTTGAAATGGAAGGGGAAGGTCTCTGGCCTCGCCTCCTAACCCCCTGGAAGAACGGCGAGCCACAGTGCCGCTCCTCCTCTTGCGGCAGCCGCTTGCTTCCGAGGAGAGCCTGGGAGCCAGGGAACCCCCCGCCTCTCCTTTGGCTGGAGGCTCCCTCCCTTCGGGTTCGTTTTCAAGGGCTCGTGCGATGGAAGGTGCCGCCGCCGCCGCCGCGTCGTCCCCCCGGGGCCAGCGGGTCCCGCTCCCCGGCCGGGCAGCAAAGGAGCGAGCCCAGCCTCTGGCCGCGGCGAGCCTGCGCTCTGCGGAGCCAGCCCTGTTGACATTTCCGGCTGCAAGTGCCCAGCCAATTGGCGAGAGCAGGCAGCGCGCCGGAGCAACGACACATGAAATATGATAATTTTCTGCTGAAGAGCCGTGGAAGGGGGAGGGAGGAAGAGAAAGTTGGAAGGGGGGGGGGGGGAGTACCGCTTGATTGCAATGGTTTGTCCGACAGGCTTTGCAGATCCAGGACTATACCGTTAACAGAAGCGTGGTGGGTGCTAAATGAGAGCGCCCCGGGGAGAGGCGTTTCTTCCCCAGCCGCCGAGGATGCTGCTCCTACTGCCCCTCAGGTGGGCTGGATGATGCATGTCAGCAGGGGAGAAGCGTGTAGCGGCTGGATGAATGCACGGGGCATGTGTGTCTGCAATGGATGGCAGCGATTGTTTCCCTAGAAGTACGCGGGGCGCATCAGCTCCGTTCACACGCTGAGATCCGGGGGCTGGGTTGGTTCTGGGGGTTTCTTTTTTGCTAAAAAGAACCAGGAAATGTGCTCCGGAGAGGTTTAGCTGGCGCTTCGTCTTCTTCCTTTGAAAACGAGGTATGGAAGCGAACCAGGGATGGGATGGTCCGAGCCAGTAAAATTGTGTATTAGTGGAGGGTTGGGTCTGTTCATTTATTGTTTTGTTTTGGTCAGAGTATTTTGGAAGAATGCTGTATTTCATGCCCGAAACGGCCCATTTAAAACTTTGAGCCCTCGTCCTTAGTTGTGATGGTAAGTACTTGACAGGGGCTGTTCTCTGCCTATACTTAACCCTGTCATAGCAAGTGGGGAGAGTAGCTGCTTCAGTAACTATTTGGTCCAAAGATTCAATAGCAGTAAAAATAATATCAGTAATGAGAGGCTGTATATTGAGAATTCAGTGTGTCTTGTAACTGACCGCTGTTTAGTTTTGTTGTGACTATTCAGCAGCTGAATGGCAAGTTTATCAGTTTATTTTTATTACCCAAGGCAAAAATTACATTCTTAAAGTCTGTGATGATAATAACAACATTTATTCAGAAAGATCATTAGCCCAAACAATGGCTGTTCTCTCTTCTTGGGTTGTGTGGACAGGGTTTTTTGAGCACTGAGTGACAGCTCTCCTGAAGTGATAATTGGTGTACTGTATCTTTAAAAGGTTAAAACCCTTTTCAAAAAGGCCTAGACTCATAGTGGGAAAAGACAAGAGAGGCTTTGGCTGGCTGTGGATCCAGAAAACAGCTGCTGATTAGATTCTGCATCTTCAGGCTGAATTTATTACAGATTTTTCAGCAGCAGGGATTCTAGGAGGACGCTTCCGTTTGGGTTTCTTGACCATGGTTTATTTTTATTCAGAGGAATAACAGAGAAAGGATTTGTTCCGGCTGGAGCATGCTCACAACCTGCAGGATCTCCCATTATTAAACTGCCTAGTTTGGGGCTTTAATATACATGTTTTATCATTGCCATTGTTATTATTTGGCACAGTCAATCTACTAATCTTATTTTTATTTTAAAAGGAAGCTGATCTCATAATGAGCTTTTCCCTTCCTTGCTTGAAACAGGTGCTAATGAAAGAACGCAAATAGCATTGGTTGATCAGAACACTTCATAAAGAAGGGCACAATCACCAAGCCAAACAAGTACAGAATCTGCCTGCCGTCAGACAGCGAAGGTAGGCACTGGGGTTTTGCATTCTGCGTGTGTCTGCGTATGCGTGTGGGGTGGTGTAGTGTTTTTGACTATTGCTGCAGTTGGAGAACAGCACAGCGAGATTCCATTTTGCCTGCGCTTTCCTTACGAAAGGTGTCAGGTTGCTGTTGAGACAGCCGGTTGGGCTGTGCTGCTGTGTGCTGTGTCTGTGTGTGTGAGTCTGTGTGTTCCCTGGGTGGGCTGAGCTCACTGCTCTGCATGGCGTGATGGGTGAGAGCTGTGAGCCTGAAGTAACCTTAGCTGTGTCAATCAGCATACATCGAGAGTGTAACCCTATCTGTGCCACGCTGAGACATCCACACTGCTGTTTGCTCTTTTTTAATTAGCTTTGGCTGTCGCCTGAATTCATCGTCGATTGACAGCAACTTCATTTTCTCCCAGTGTAGCCATATTTTGCTCGTGGAACAGAGGAGGCCAATGTGGGTAGAAGTAAAATGCCTTGTCGGCCGGCTAAGAATAAGATTGACATACTGCTGTTTGGGGCATTTACCCCTAGCAGAGGTCCTGACCATTGCATTCAGGAAAAATGAGCATGTTGCTCTCTGGGAAGCCTCATCCTGCTAGAACCAGCGTTGTGCCACCTCTCACGGCTATGTTAAGTTGGTATGAAAAGGCCCCGTTCTGTTGTCATGTCTGGTATTCGTACTCTGTCTCTGGTGAATACTCAGAGCTACTCATTGATGTGCCATCTGATGTAAAAAAAGGGAGATTGACCCATCCCTCGTTTTCACAGGCAAATCCCTGACCATAATTGAATTTGAATGTCCTCTCTCCTACACAAAGCCTGGTCACCGGCAGTTCTCCTTATACCCTGCCAGATAATATTTGGATACAGTCAGTGTTAGGATTTTCTTATCTTCATAGGTTTGCCCTTTTCTATGAGCCTTCTTAGATTTTGGCGGGCTATTCTGACATTGTTCTGCAGATGCTGTACAGCAACCTCATGCAGTACCTGGCTGCGTGTCTGGTTCATGCACTCAGTTTTCGGCTGTGTTTCACAGAACTGCAAGACTGGAATTGCAGCAGCGACTGCAGAGGGCTCTTTTGGGGCCAGATTCTGCCCTCATCTTATGTATGATCTCCTGTTGACTTCAGTGCCATGAACCTCTGAGGGCAAAAGTTAGCTCTTAGCCTGGGAATCTGGGGCTAGAACTTGATGTCTTTAGGGAGTTTTGTGAACAGTCGGGATTTTGTTCTGTGTGATAGAGAATAGCTGCCTATTGTAGAAATGGCCATTCATTTTGAACCAGGTATTCAGGAAATGGTCTGCAAGAAGTTTGCCATTGATTAATTGTAAAAGCCAAGAGCGTTCAGCGCATGACACATGGTGTTTCATAGGAACACCCTAGTGAGTCCCCTAAAAACAATTGTTGTGGATATATCTCCCCCAACTAATTACTTTAATTAGGAATTCATAGACATGGGTGAATAATGTGCATGCAGTATGATTAAAACAAATTGTTGGCTCAGTGACTGTGTTGATCTGAGACTATTCCTACAAGCCCAGTTTCTTCCTCTGAGTCATTTACCACGTGTCTGAACTGTCATTAAGTACTCTTCCGCCAGTCCTTTACCTGTGCAGCTGCTGACTCTTTGGCTAGTCGGCCCCTGGAGATTCCGAGGATTGCTTCTGCAATGTGTGTGTGCACCTCTCTCTCCCTCTCCCGTCCCTCCCCTTCCTGTCCTTTCCTGAAATGGCAACTCTATCCTAATGTGAACTTGTCACCATCCAAGTCCATACTGCGTGGAGAAAATGTAACCTGTACTTTAACAACTCTGGCATACCCCCATAGCAGACCAATACACCTCAGATCACTTAGTTATGGGGCATTGTTTCTGCAGAGATAAGAGTCTGTCTCTGGTTTTACTCTAGGAGCACGACCGTCAGTGAACCGAAGCTGTAGCGCTGCTATTTAATAGATTCTTTTCAAGATTTTGTTTCCACTTAAGGGGGCAGGAATCCTCTTGGCTGGAAGCAAACGAAGTGGGTTTATTTATTTATTTTGTTGTAGCCAGCTTGTTTGCACAGCTTGTCATGTGAAGCGCTACCATGTGAGAGACCCTGTTCATTTCCAGTCTTTGGGCTTCAGTAAATTCAGACTAGCAGGGGTTGGCAGGATGGTTGAGATACAGTATTTGGATGAGAAACCTCCAAAGAAAACTCTAGGAGCTGCAGGAAAGTGGTCTTGGTGACTCACTAGGAGCTGCTCTTCCTACTGAGTCACTTTAGAACCATTGTTCCATCATGGTGTCAGGGGGTGATGTGCTGCTGACAGGATATTAACATCAAGGGCCTCATCTCTCTGTGGTCATTAAAGATTCCATGGCTTTTTTTTTCAAGAATAGGGAAACCTGAGTGTTCTGGCCAAATTCCAGTTGGGGTAACTTCATTGTCCCTCCCAAAATTCCCCCTGTAGTTTCATTTGGATGTAATTAACTTTACTTCCTGTTGTGAATGGTTATGTGGGATTGCTGCGTGCTTCTAAATAGCTATCGTATTCCACCCCAGAGGTGTCTGCATTCAAATGGTATATGCAGTAACTCTTGTACAATACTGTATATAGTTTCTAAAGTACTTCAGGATTTTGTGGGAATTTATGGCCCTCCATAAATGAGATTATTGTTATTCTCCAACTCCTGGGGATGGAAAGGGGAAGATAGGAGTAGAGTTTATCATTCTGAACACCTTTAGAAGCTGGGTCACAGAGTAGCACCACAATCTCATAGGAGACTACTGGTCCTTTTGGTTGTCGTGTTTGTAAAACAGCTATTAATGTAGATGTGTACACCCACACACTGAGAGATAAGTGTATAGAATAGTGGTTTACAAGATGTTGAAAATTCTGAAATGTGACTTGGACCAGCCTGATAGTCTAAACTGATGCCTTGGAAAGCAGAGACCGTTCTGGGCAGATGGTCATTACTGGGTGTGGAAATCAAGGCCTTTGAAAAGAGATACCTGAGACCCCTTGAATGCCTCTGAATACACCACACTGGGCTAATGTGGTGTATGGTAATTTTTGTACTTAGCCGTAGTTAAGACCAGTGGTTCTCAAATATCCTGATACCTTTTTTGATTTTTGGAAAGAAGTATGGTTGTCCTGTTAAAAAAAATTTATGTAAATGTAAGAAATTTTCTAAGTAAAATCCAGACACTTTGTGGATGTGGCAAACATGGTGAATCCAGTTTGAAAAGCTCTGGTTTAGAGAGTGCTTTGCCTTCTCCTCATCCTGTATTTAATTTGCTTAGTTCAGGATTTGCACCTAGATTTCAGTTGGTTCAGTGATTACTATGAGTCTTAGCTCTCTTCATTCATGATGTGAAGCTGGTGAGGAATGGAACAGGGTGTGACGAAGTGAGAATTTTCTTAATGTTTTGTCTGAGTACTCTGTGTGGGCCTCAGTTTCCCCTGTGTGTTGGTGGTGTGACAAGGGTGTGTGATTTTGCAGAGACCCCTAGAGGGCAGGTGTGACTGCTGTCTAGCTCCCTGGGCCCAGACAATGGCCAAACATTCTGCATCCTGGCACGTGATGCTGGAACCCCTCCTCTGCAAGAGCCAGCCAGAGGAGTTGGAGAACTGTGAGAGAGTTGGAGGCCAGGTGACCGGTTTGTCCAAGAAACAGACAAAGGACAGAGGAGTGGCAACTGGGCGTGACTGAGGGGGGGCAGCTGGAAGCTGGTCAGTCTCTTGGTTTGGGGCTCAGGGGGGGGACACATCCCAGGGCTCTGGGTCTCCCCAAGATGGACTTTGCTGTAACTTCCTGCTTTCTGAGCTAACGAGATCTGTTCTACATTGTGTTCCAGACAACGAATAAACCCGTCTGTTCTACAGTGCTGACTAAGAGTCATTGCTGACTAGAAGTTGGGGTGCGTGGCCCCTTTGGGGGCACATAAGACTTCGCCAGGTGTCCTGTTCAGGTGGACTTACTGTGGGGAGCTCACGGCATGAAACAGGGTGCTGAATGCTCCGAGGTCAGACCCAGGAGGTGCTGAAACCAAGGATGCTTGCCCTAGTGAGAGTGTGCCCTCAGGGGTGTCACACTACAAGAGGGTCCTGTCTGAACTTCATTCAGAGCAGTTCCAGAGCATTGAGTCTGTTCTTCCGTGACACAGGGTCAGGACAATAGTAATACAACACTGACCCAAAACTGTCATTTGTAAATGAACCAGCTGGGAGCAAGTCACTTTCCTCTGTATAGTGGAAATGAAAACAAGTCTATGCTGATTTGAGGCTAAAAACATCTGGCTGGCTCAACACAACAACTAAGCACCTACAGGTGGTATGACTGAGAAGCATGTGTGTCACCCATTAGCATGGATGTCCCAAGGACTGGGCAGGGACTCTCTTATTCTTCAGTGTTTGCCTAGCACAATGGGGCCCTGGTCTGTGACTGTGGCTCCTAGGTGCTACGGTAATACAAATAATTAGAAAGGAATCTTAAGCCCTAATGTATTCCTTTCTTTGGTGGCCTAGTCAGTGTTGCCTCTAGTTTGTTGGTAGCAAAGTGAGATTCAGACAAAGGTCAATGTGCTGCTTAACCATGTTTAAAGATTACTAATCGTACTCCCATGGAGATGTCAGAATTGATAGGCCCCAACATCTTCACCTGAATTTTTGAAAGACTCAAAATATCTGTGCTGAGGGTAGAGAGGTACCAACTGCTTAACCCATGTATTGGCTCCCCTTTGGGCTCATTGTGTAACTGCTGTGGGAGGAAGAGGTGATATGGATTTTTGTTAACATTTAGGACTCTCTCTTCTTACTCTGTGGAAAACGAGGAAGATGGGGAAATGACTTGGCCAAGATCTCAGTACGAGTTGCTGGCAGAGTTGAGAACAGAAATGAGGAGTTCCAACTGCTGTAGACTCCAGGCTTTCTATTTATTTACTTCATGACTGAGCATTCACCGGTCACTAGCAGCCATCAAAAAATACTTGGAGGAATGTGTTATTTTATAAAT